TATTTAACAATGAAAGTTGAAATCTCATCAATTTCATATGATCTATTACTTAGTACTGTCCATTTACATATTAGAAAATGTAGTTAAAACTATTACAATTAGCGCGTCTCAAAATGTTTAATTACGACTGTATTTTTAGCCATTTGATCAATGACTGTATGTTGCACATATATAACCTCTCATACACACACATACCCTCACCATTTCTACGATGGCATTTTCATATTTTGAAAATATCAAATCACACTTTCAATAAATTAAGCATTCTAGAATAGTTCTGTTACAATATATTTCTTTTTATATATGACATCTCAATTGACCTTAGATGAGAAACATTATTTATAGTTGGTCTATATATAATACAATTCAAGTTTCATTAATCAAATGCGAATTTAATATCTTTAACAAGTTAACAGAATGAATGTTGAGCAAAGAGTGGGACAAGTGTAACATACCAGTAAAATTGGGTGCTGGCACTGTTATAAAAATTATCTTTAAAAATGCATCTTTCAGAGCATTTAAAAAAAAAGCGCCACAAAAATAAAAAAAAATCTACTAGAGCGCTTTTTAAAAAAGTATTTCAGTATGTCTTTAGGAGTATAGAGCGTTTCTAAATTTTCAAAATAAAAAATTTTAAAAAAAAATTTTACATTTAAAAATGCTTTTTAAATGAGTGTTTCAAAATAAAAATATAAAAATAAATTAAATAACTTTTTAGGAACGTTCTTTGTATGAGCGTTCCTAAATGCTAAACGTTTTGGGGTACTCTTAATAAAAATTTAAAAAAACTAACGTTTAACCTTTTAAGAGTACTCTGTTACAAAACGATCCTAAAAGTAAAACATGTAGGAATGCTATTATATAAAGTGCTTCAAAATGTTTTTTTTTTTTTTAAATTTTAAGCGTAATTTGAACGCTCCTAAAAAATATCCGAAAGGTTGATAAAAAAATTTTAAAAGACCCGCACCTGTCATTATTTTTGCTCCAGTTTCACTATGCCGCGTCAGTTTTGCTCCAGTACCAGTTTAGCTATACTGCTTCAAGTTGTTAGGATTTCTCTCTCTTTGTTTTTGTGCAGGTTGTTTTCACGTACTCATAGAGGACCCTCATCATCGAAAAACTCCACCGGACCGGCCACCTGATGTGCTAGCGCTGGAGAACAAGAAACATAAGAAGAAGAAGGATACCGGTATTGAAGAAGAGGAGGTTATTATGGATGACCCCATGACTGAAGGTGCCTTGGAAGAAGTGGGTAAAATCCCCGCACAGGCATCTCCTGAGAAAAAAAAAACAAAGGAAAAGAGCCATGAACTAGAACAAGCGAAGAAGGGTATCTCCTACAAAGACTCGCTGCTAGGTTTTAATGGTGTTGAAATTGGTGACTTAACTATGGATGAAGACGATCCCTTTACCGAAGAAGAGATGCACTGGGATTTGCCAAAACCAATTGAGGAGGGAAAAAAACTCATGGAAATATTTCCTATAGTCCCTATTTCTCAAGAGGAGTATAATGATTGGTGTAAACCATGGAATAATTCTCTAGTCATCACAGTTTTGGGGAAGAAATTTCATTTGTATCAGCTTAAAGACCTTAGCAGAACATGGTACATCTACGACTTTGATCTGGTTGATTTGCAGAACAATTATTTTGTGGTTACTTTTAAAGAAAAAGTGGGATGGACTGCCCAATATAAGAAAGTTTTATATGAAGGTCCTTGGGTGATCAAACAACACTATGTTCTGGTTCAAAAATGGACTCCATATTTTGATCCCTTCAAAAACCCATTGGGAAGAATAGCTGTTTGGGTTTGTATCCCCAACATACCCCTTCATTGCTATAATAGTAACTTTATCTGGAGACTTGGCCATAGGATTGGCAGAACCTTGAAAGTAGATTTGAATACCCTCGCAGATGTCACTATTAAAAACTATAAAGTGGAGAGAGGCTGATTTGCCAGAGTTTGTGTCGAACTCGACTTGCAAAAAAAATTAATGCCCAAGGTCATTGCTGCAGGTGGAGTTTTCAACGTCACTTATGAAGGATTAAGCATGATTTATTTTGCATGTGGTGGATATGGACACAGAAGAGAAAATTGCCCATGGAGATATGCAGAAGAAAATAAGCATGGTGAAGAACATGAACACCCACCTGTGGTGGTCAGGTGGTTAGAAACTTCACCGGTGAATGGAAAAGCAGGTAGCGCCGTGTTTGGTACCTGCATGCTATCAGGTCATGAACAGTTTACGCAGGTCTCAAGGCGAGAAAGTAACAGAGGGTATGGGTTTGTTGCAGCAAGAAAAGACCAGTCTTTTAGAGAAGAGGAAAAAATATCATCTCAATCCTGATTTGCAGCTCTTGCAGACATAGATTAGGAAAATGATAGGATGGCGTCTGTGAACCTTTACAACAAAGAGAGTCCTGCTACTATTGTGCATAGTGAAAAAGGTAGAGCTACTTATGGTGGCAAAAATATCATGACCATGTCTTCCAGTCAACACGTGGGAAAGAGAAGTGAACATAGAGGAATGACTTGTGACAAGGAGAGAAGTACGTTAAAGCAAAGGGTAAGGAGAATGTCAAAGTTTCTCGGGAAAGTTACAATGAAAGACCCCAAAATGGGGTCGGCAAGGGTGATTTTCACCATAGTGAGACTTTTAGTAAAAACAAGAAACAAGCTCGGAAAAGAAACAGTGGGTCGCGTCTGCACAAAGTGCTTCTAGGAAATATCAACCAATTGGGTCAGAGAAACGAGGAAAGCCGAAATGTAATGGCTATCTTCAATCCAAATGATGGGAGGCCTGAAAGATTAGATGAGCAGACAACATTTCCTCAAAGTCCTGCACCGTCAAATCACTACTATAAAAATGAGGGTTAACAGCTTACATTTTATAACAATAAAAAAAAAAAATAAAACACCATTAATGTTAACACAAAATGTTTGCTGGCATTTTTATTTTTTCAAATGCCACCATTTTAAATTATTTTTTTTATTTTTAATTTAAATAAATAATATTAGGTGGTGTTTATTAAATGAAATGTCAGTTCAGTAACATTATTGATAGCAATTCAGTAATGAAATGCCACTTATCTATTTCATTTTAACTTACTTGTATTGTTTTATTAAATCGAATAATAATTTAAACATAATTAATTAATTCATTAGCAATAAATATATATTCATAATTAATTAATTAATTAAGATAAGAGAAGTGACATTTCTAGAACATGAAAACACACTAGAAATGCCACCTCTCTTCTAATTGTTAAAAAATTTATACTTATAAATAATTTTTTAATCACATTAAAAGAATTTAATAGATAATATGAAATTATTTAGTGATGTATTTTTTCATAAATTCTAGAAGAGAAGTGACATTTTTAATAGAAAGAAATGCCATCTCTCTCATACTTTTATTATTTTTATTATAAATATATTTTATTATAATAAAATAACTATTTATATTTATTTGATAAAATTATTTAGAGATATATTTTTTATTAATTAAATAATGAAAGAGAGATGGCGCTTTAAGGTTTTTAAAATAGTAAATATTTATTTATATATTTAATTTGATAAAATTATTTAGTGATTTATTTTTTCATAAATACTGGAATAGAGGTGGCATTCCTAGGTGTTAGAAACGCCACCTCTCTCACACTTTTATTATTTTCATTACATAAATTTTTTAATATAATAAATATTTATTTATATATTTTATTTGATGAAATTATTTATTCATGTATTTTTTCATAAGTACTGGGAGAGAGGTCACACTTTTAAGAGTTATAAATGCCACCTCTCTCATACTTTTATTATTTTTATTATAAATATATTTTTAATATAATAAATATTTATTTATATATTTTATTTGATAAAATTATTTCATGTATTTTTTCATAAATACTGAGGAGAGGTAACGTTTCTATGTGTTAGAAATGCCACCTCTCTCATTTTTTATTTTTTATTATAAAAATATTTTAATACAATAAATATTTATGTATATATTTTATTTGATAAAATTATTTTGTCATATATTTTTTTCATAAATACTATGAGAGAAGTGGCATTTCTAATAAAAAAAATGAGAGGTGGCATTTCTAAGTGTTAGAAATGTCACCTCTCTCATTTTTTTATTATTTTTATTACATAAATATTTTAATATAATAAATATTTATTTATATATTTTATTTGATAAAACTTAATCATGTATTTTTTCATAAATATTGGGAGAGAGGTTGCGTTTTTAGGTGTTAGAAACGCCTCCTCTCTCATATTATTATTATTTTTATTATAAATATATTTTTAATATAATAAAATAATTATTTATATATGTTTTTAATGAAATTATTTAGGGATATTTATTTATTAAATAATGAAAGAGAGGTGGCATTTTCAAAAGTTAGAAATGCCACATCTCTCAAGTTTTTATTATTTTTATTATAAATAATTTTTTAATATAATAAAATAATTATTTATATATTTTATTTGATGAAACTAGTTGGAGATATATTTTTTATTAAATAATGGAAGAGAGATAGAGTTTCTAGAAATGCTACCTCTCTCATATTTTTATTATTTTTATTATAAATATATTTTTAATATAATAAAATAATTAGTTATGTATTTTATTTTATGAAATTATTTAAAAATATTTTTTATTAAATAATGAAAGAAAGGTGGCGCTTTCAGGAGTTAGAAATGCCACCTCTTATATTTGTATTACTTATTTATTTTATAAATACTAAATATATATTATATACATTTATTACATATATTTATATAATAAATACATATAATATATTAAATTTTATTTACAAAAAATTAGTGAGAGAGGTGGCGATTGTCCATTGAGAATCGCCACCTCTCATTTTGTTGTTTTCCAGCAGCTTTTCACGTGGCTTTTCCCCCTCCTTTAGTAGCTTTTCAGTCATGGTCCCCCCAATGGCTCCCTCTTAATCCTTCTCCCTCACCTCGTGGTCCCGCCCCCACCCCCAACAGCTTCCAGTCGCCTCTTAGCTCCCCAGGCCACTGTCTTCTCTTAGCTCTCTGGCTCTCCCTTGTAGCTCTACCCCCACCCCAGCTCTCCCTGCTCTCAGCTCACCATGCCTCCCCCCACCTCAACTCTCCCTCTCAGCTTGCGGTGCCCCCCCCAAACCCCCTAGCTCTCGCCTCTCAACTCCTCATAGCTCGTGGTGCTCTCAACTCACGGTGCTTTCAGCTCGTCCTTCTCAGCTCGCTCACAACTTCTTCCTTCTTCCTCGCTTTACTCTCAAGCTCGTTAATGTAAAGTAAGTTCTTTCTCTCATATTTATTTTCCCATCTCTGTCTTTATATGCTATAAGGTCTCCCACAAATTTATTTTAATTTTTTTTATCTTGTGATCTTTATTTTTGCTCATGCTCATATTGATCTTTAACTTGTGGTCCCAACTTTGTTTCAGCTTGTGGTTCATCTTGTTTCATCCTCATGGTACTTTTTTTAATGAATTTTTGTAATTATAAATATATTATCATTTAATTTGATTTATTTATTTATCAACTATTGAATATTAATATAGTTATTGGGACTTAAATTTACTTAGATAATTATTCATTAATTACCAAAAATAATTTAATTTAATTTATTTGTTTATCAACTGTTGAATATTAATGTGGTTGTTGGGACTTGAATTTACCTAAAACAATTATTTTGCATGCGAAAAAAATGTTAAATTAATTCTTGATGAAATTACAATTATTAAATAGATTATTTAATACTTGAAATTTTTCATTTTTAGTTTGTCATGTTGCCAATTTTTTTTTTAAATGTCAAATTAATTTGTTCACATTTGTTCAAGTTTAAGTTGTCATGTTTTTAGTTAGCTAGATCGTATCCTAATTTAATTAATTAGTTGCATTAGATATCAATGGTTGTCTATTACTTGACTTTATGGATATAAATGAATATCAATAGGTAGAAGGTATGGATCGGAAGTGGATATTTGCTAATCGATTGTTAAAAGAATATAGGGATAGGGTGGAAGAGTTTATTACTTTTGCAGTTTAGCATGCGAAAGATTCAAATAAAATTTTGTGTCCTTGCTTAGCTTGTTGCTATGGAAGAAGAATTACTCAAATTGAATTGTTAGATCATTTAATATGTCATGAAATTGATCAAAGTTATATACATTGGCTAAGGCATGGAGAGAAAAATGATGTATCCGATAAAAAGGTGTATACCAGTAGGTCTTCTAAGAGAGAAGATGCATGCGATGATGTTGATAGTTATAGGTGTGAGATTGATCATCTTGATAAAATGCTAAATTTAATAGAGGATGATTTTTGTGATTGTCCTCAAATGTTTGAAAGGTTGGTAGGTGATTCAGAGAAACCACTATATCCTAGTTGTACTAAATACATCAGGTTATCAGCAGTTTTGATATTGTACAATTTGAAAGCTGCTTGTGGATGGACTAATAAGAGTTTCACTCTGTTGCTTGATACTCTGAAAGATATATTTCCTGTTGGTAATGAACTTTCTACCAAGACATATGAGGCCAAGCAAATGTTCTACTTAATTGGTTTGGGCTATGAGAAAATACATGCTTGTCCAATTGCATTTTTTTCGTAATGAGTATGCTTCGTTAAAGAAGTGCCCTAAATGTGAAGCATCACGATATGGAAAAAATCAAGTCTTATAAAGGCATATGATATTTCTTAAAAATTGTTTCACAAGGTGGCATTTGTTCTTATTTAAAATGCTACCTCTGTGAATAACATAGGTGGCATTTTAATGTGTAATAAACGCCACCTCTCTTGAGGTTTTTTAAATATTAAGCTGAGAGAGGTGGTGTTTGTAGAAGTACCCTCACTTTGTCATAAGTCTTGTGGCATTTTAATAATTAATGAAACGCTACCTGATACTTATTATAGCATTTTATAAACGCCACAAATAAAATTTTAAACACCACCAAAGGCTATTTCTGTAGTAGTGAATTTTCAAGCACAGGAAGATAGATCCAGCACCAGTAATTTACCCCAAAACGCTAAACCTCTTGATCTAGATTCTATTATGGATATAGTGGCAGAGAAGAAGTCATCATCAACCGATGAGCTAAACGTCGGATCTGATATCGAATCACCTTTCTAGGACTAGGATGAACATGCGCATAAGTAAGTGCTTCTAAAGACTTGTTTTGCTTATGTTTGCTTTCTTATGATAGTCGTCTTGGAATTGTTGGGGGGTTAGATGCCGTTCTTTTGCTTCTCTAATTAAAGAGATTGTTTCAAAGAATAAAATTGATATTTTGTGTCTTATGGAAACTTGTATTAGCAAGAACAGAGCAGATAAAGTAGTGAAAAAGTTAATATTTTCTAATTAGATTCAATTATAGGCCACTGGTTTTGCTAGAGGGATTTGGATTCTTTGGAATGCTTCTGAGTTCTTGGTTGGATATGTTCACTTTAATGTTCAAATGATTCATTGCACTATTACTGCTGTACAAAGACGTTCTTCTACTTTTATCACTTTTGTCTATGGTGAGACCTCTATCTCTAAAAGAAAACTTCTTTAGGATTCACTGATTGGTGTAGCGCAGGTATGCTAGGGTCTTTGGATGATTGTTAGTAACTTTAATACTTTCCTATCCCCTGAAGACAAAGTAGGGGGTGCAGAACTCTCCTTTCAATCCATAGATCATTTTTTAGAGTGTATCCAGCTTTTTACTTGGGAGAAGCAAGGGGGTGAAAGAAAGATTGGATTGGTCTTTTACTAATGTAGACTGGTTTACTACTTTTCCTCTATCCAAAGTTACACATTCACTATGGTACAAGTCTGATTATTGTGTTATTGTGATTTTTGATAGGCTGAAAACCTTTGCTGCCCCCTCAAACATCGCTTCCATTATTAGGCAACTTGAAACCTTGAAGATTCCTTCAAACCTATGGTTATAGAAGCATGGCGTAATAAAAATTAGGAAGAGGTTCTCAATCACTTTCAACAAACTACAAAGAAGTGGAATACTACAATTATTGGAAGTATCCCTTTTAAGAAGAGAAAATTAGTGAAAAGGCTTGAGGGTATTGACAGGGCACATACCATTAATCATAATGGTCTGTTTAAACTTGAAAAGTCTCTCTGGCAAGACTATATGAAACTTAGCAATCAAAAGGAGCTTATTTGGTTTCAAAAAGTAAGATATAAATGGCTGTAATTGGGTGATAAAAATTCTAGTTTCTTTCATGCCTATGATGTTCTCGAAAGGAAAAAGAAAAGAATACTTACACTTCAAGATGAGTCAGGAAATTGGGTTTTAGTTAAAGAAGATTTAAAGAGTATGGCGGGACAGTTTTTCAAAGGTCTATATACTAGGGATGAGTTGATTAATACCCCCAATTCTTGGAGTATTACTTTCCCCTAGTAACCTGTTGATTTGGAGAAATTACATAGACCTATTGATGATATTGAGGTTAAAAATGTTGCTTTCTCTATGGGTGCTTTCAAAGCCCTGGGACCAGATGGAATTCAAGCTCATTTTTTTCATACTCAGTGGAATTCAGTTAGTGGTAAAATTTGTGATTTGGTTAAATAGGTGTTCAGGGACTCGAGTAAAGTGAGGATCATTAATCAAACACACTTAGTTCTCATTCCTAAGGTACAACATCCCTCTTCTATTAAGGAATTCAGACCAATCTCCTTGTGTAACATTAGCTTCAAAATCATCACTAAAGTATTAGCTAATAGACTTAAATCTATCTTGGGGGATATTATCCAACATGAACAATGCAATTTTTTGGAAGGACGGTAAGGGAATGACAATGTGATCATAGCACAGGGAGCCATCATAACATGTGTAACAAAAGAAGCAAGAAATCTTATGTGGCTATCAAAGTCGACATGGAGAAAGAGTACGATTGCCTAGATTGGTGCTTTATTAAAAATACTTTATATAGCCTAGGAATTCAATCCGACTTTATCAAGATTGTCATGGAGTGTTTGTCCTCCACATTAATGAAAGTCATATAGAATGGGGAAGAATCTCAAGCTTTCTTTCCTTCAAGAGGAGTTATATAAGGGGACCTTTTAAGCCCTTATATCTTTGTACTATGCATGGGATGTCTTGGTTACCTAATTGGGGCACAATACGAGGAGTAAAAATAGAAGCCGTTGAAGTTTTCTAACTCAAGCCCAGCTATTTCTCACTTGTTCTTTGCCGATGGCCTTTTCCTATTTGCTAAGGCTACCATAGGTCAAATGGAAATAATCAGACAAGTTATGGATACCTTCTACAGGATCTCCAGTTATAAGATCAACTTAAATAAATCTAAAATGTTTCTCTCTAGGAATGTTCATTTTAACAGAGAACTTGAACTCAATCAGGTATTGGGAATTGGCCTCACATATGACCTGGGTAAATATTTGGGGGTTCCTATACTGTAGTCTAAAGCTATAAAAAGGACTATCAAAACAAGAAAAAAGCTCTCGTCTTGGAAGCGTATTTACCTCAACCTAGATAGTAGAACTATTCTCATTAAAGTCATGTTATTAGCTCTACCATCTTATCTTATATAAACTACCCTCCTGCCTAAGGGTTTGTTAAGTAAGATTAAGAAGATTAGCCACTCTTTCCTTTAGATTCAGGAAATTGATAAGAAAAAAATGCATCTAATCACATGGGATGTTATCAAGGAGAATAAAGAGAATGGAGGTTTGGGTATTAAAGATTTATACAGGCATAATAGAGCTTTTATAATGAAGCTATGTTGGGGTTTACTTACAAAATCAAATGCTCTTTGGGTGAAATGTTTATAAGCCAAATACCGATGTGAGGTCAATCAAATGCCTAAAGTCACCAAGAAACCTAATTCTTCTCATGTTTGGAAGGCCATGACCATTGTATGGGAAGATTTCAATGAGGGTATGGGGAAGCATATTAAAAATGGTATGAATACTCAGTTTTGGTTGGTCTTCTGGACTCATCTTGACCAGCCATTGATAACCTATGTAGATAAAAATTTTCATGACATCCATCCTCAAAGTATGGTGAAAGACTTTGTTACCCCTAATCACCACTAGAATTATAGAGCCTTGTTGCATTTCTTCCCCGAGTGGGTGGTTAGGAAAATATGTGTAACTTAGACTCCTTGTGTTGATGAGGACGGTGTATTTTGTTGGAGATATATTGGTGATGGTAGATTCAGTATTAGATCAGCATATAAATCTTTGCATGCCTCTAACCAGCAGCCTAACGATCCCCTATTGAAACAGCTTTGGCGATGGCCTATCCAAGAGAAAGTGAAACTATTCCTTTGGTAAGTGATCCACAGGAGACTTATCACTAACTCCTTAAGAGCCCAAAGAGGTCTTTTTAATAATGCAAAGTGTCCCTTTGAGTGTGATAGTGAGGAAAATATCCTTCACATTTTGAGAGATTGCTGTGTGGCCAAGGAAGTATGAAAGCTTATTATTTCTCTTGACCATTATATGTCTTTTCTTGCTATTGATAATTTGTAGGTTTGGATCTGAGAAGGCATAAAGAGACACTAAGGGACAACGTTCTTTAGAAGATGGCCATGGATCAAAATTTTTTACAATGTATGCTGGGTACTTTGGAAAAATAGATGTAGTAGAATTTTTGAGGGAAGACATAATATAGCAAATAAAATTATACATTTAATCTCTTTCGACTTAATGAAAGATACTAGCAATAGACGATACAAGCATTTGGTGATAAGCCAAATCCAGAGCAACAATCACTTTTAGACCAGACCTTGATATGACTTTGTACGTATGGGTGTCGATGCTTTAGTCAAGTATCTTAATTAAGCAGCTTGTGGTGGCGTGATCCGAGACTATGAAGGTCAATGGATCTTGGGTTTCAGCTATAGAATGAATCCTACTACTATCTCTATGACAGAATTAATTGTAATCAACTTAGGTTTAGTAAGTTGTAAACAGCATGGATATAACAAGATCTAGCTCTTTATTGACTCCTTAAAGGCTATTAATACCCTGCTTCAAGATAGTAGAAGGAATCAGGATTATGGCAACATTATTGACTTAACCAAGAAACTCATTTACTAGGATTGGGAATTAGAAGTTAACTATAGTTATAGAGAAAGTATGGAATGTGCAGATTTCTTAGCAAGACTTGGTCACTCATCTACTTACGATGTCACAACATATTTTAAAGCCCCGCCTGAGTGGGAACAGATCTTAACAAATGACTATGCAAATATGTTTAATCTTTTTTTATTGCAATGTTGTTTCAAGCTTAGCTTGCCTTGTTATTAAAGAAAAAAAGCTATACTACTTTAGCACTCAGTTTGTGTGCGACTCGGATTGACATCTCAATGTAGATCTTTCTAACCATCAAGTGAAGTTGGCCAAAAACTCGCAGATCTGAACACTTCATCATCGATGCGCCTTGGTCTCTTCGTCTCGAAGATTTGAACACTTCATCTCGTAGATCTGAACACCTTGTCTACTTTATCTTCGTAGATTTGAACACAAATTTTCTAAGAATTTGCATGGTAAAGGAGCCACTAGTATAATTTTTTGTATTCTGATTATGATTTTTTCTTTCAGGTGAGAAGAAATTATCAAAGGTGATAGTACTAGATAAGTAGAAAGAAGGTGCTAGCAATACTATTGAGGGCGGTGGCTAAAAGATCAACAAAAACAAGCTCCTCTCGAAGAACAGCACATCAAAATTCAATTTCATATTTTTATTTTTCCTTTCTTTTTTCTTATCGGGTATGTTAAAGGGATTCAAGAAGCATTTTATCATCATAAAGTTGGCCGGTTGTGTTTATGATTCTTACTATGATAGATGCTATTCTCAAACAAATGTTTTCATAATTTTACAAAATTATACAGGCGGTGAATGTCACTTATTATTGTGTATTATTAATTTATGCTTTATTTTATCAATTACATGTTGCAGACGTTGCGATTGTATCTCCTAGAGAGGGAAATATTAAGTTGTGGGTAGAATTGAAGTTATGACCCCTGCTTCTTTCTTCTCTCACTTTCTTTTAGGATGTTGTGATTTTACATATGCTCTTGTAATGCCTTTAACATCCAACACACCAACTAATTATATGCCACAACAATTTCTGTTAGTAGGTACTACGAAGTACTAGTTTGCTGTTTTGTTTAAGTTTTATTTTATTATAGGTGTCTAGAATCTCGCCTCCTTTTCTCCTAATATGGTCACTCTTCTTTGACTAGTAAAATGAATTTTTGATTTTTGCATATAAATACTTTTTTTATATTGATTATTGGTTCAAAATATTTTAAGGCCATAGAAAAGAGTAATGTTGACTGCTCATATTCCATTTCATTTATAGAAGTTAATAGTTTACCAGTTATACAAGTTGATGCTTGCTATGAGCGTTAGTTAAATGGACATAGACATGATACATGACACAATCAAAATATTATTAATAATAAGGGGCCCAAAATTTATGAATTTGACACTAACCAATCTCTTGTAACTATTCTCAAAATTTTATTGTTTATTGTGGTATTTATTTAATGTTAGTTGTGAATGTTTTTATTTTTTTTAATTTTAGGTAGTTGTGAATGATTGTTTGATTGCCATTTTATGTTTGTTATTCTGAATATACTGTTTTGGATTGATGTAAAATTTTAAAAAATTCTAAAACATCCAAGTTATAGGGGAGACTCTGTTGGATTTTCACCAGTAAATACCTGTATTATATATATAATTTCATTCTTGAAGTGCTTTAAATTAAGTTGAAATTTATTTCTACCATATTTTGATGATAACATCTTTTATTATTTTATAGATACCTACACAAATATAAAGTTGAGAGTGTGGATACTATGTTATGAAGTTTATGAGAGAAGTATTCATACGATAAGAGTTAATCCTAAAAATGTAAGCCAAAAGCTTTGAAATTAAATTAATATAATGTTAATTACTTATATATTGTTTTCATATCTTATGTAGTATTTTATAAAAGCAAGATCATCGCATTTTACTATGGAGCAAATAAAATATTTAATTGAAGAGTGATCAGAATATATTATTGGCTGTTCATAATAAGTAGTTAGATTTTAAGGTTAGAAAAATACTAATAGTTTCATGTGTTAGACTTGTAAGAAATTAGACTAGCTAGTTAGAAAATTGACATTGTTGTTTTAATTTTAAGTTCTTTTCTTGTATATAAATTTTTATGTTGATATTATTTTTGAATTAATTTTTGATATTGGGATTAGTCATTTTCAAAGAGACACAAAGGAGGAAATTTTCAAAAATAAAATTTTTAAAAAAATAAATATAGCCTATGGGAGCACTTATTTTTGGAGTGCTCCTACAGCCTATGACATACGAGAGCACTCATTTAAGATTGAGTGCTCTTGTAAGTGACATATAAAGAGCACTCCCGTATGTTCTTAGCTACGGGAGTGCTTGTCTAAACAGTGCTCCCGTAGGCCATTTTTCATATTTATATATACAGGAGCATTTTTTGAAAAAGGCTCTCATATTCCATATTTATAACATACGAGAGCGCTTTGTAAAGTGCTCCATATATTCTGGAGTGCATAATATGGGAGTGCTTTTGAAGCGTTCCTTAAGGTAAAAAAAAGAAAAAAAAGTGCTCTTGTAACTTATTTTGTAGTAGTGTGGTGTTGCATTGTGAAATCAAATGCTCTAATGCTATCAATTTCTTTAGTTGCTAGTAGAAAACAACATTCAGGAGCCCATGAGAAAGTAGTTATCTTGGAGTTTTCATTTTCTCCTTTAAATCTTCTTTCAAAACTAGAGATGGCCTTGGCATACATTTCATAAATTCTCGAAACATGCTAATGAAATTTGGTACAAAGAAAAAGGTCTATTATCTTCAAGGAATGAAGTATAATCTCTTGATGCAAGACATGGCCCTCTTTTTGGTATTCACCAAATATGTATTTCAACTCTTTACAATTCTTTATATCTATCTCTTCCAAAAGAGGAAGGTCTCCTACCAAAAGGAGCAGTAACACCAATTCTAGTTTGTGACATGCTTCAATTTCAAGATGCCTTAAATTTGGGAATAGTAAGCCATGGCTTTTTGATTATCAACATCTCTTAATTCTTTTCCCGTACTCTTGTATGCAATTAAACTTTTTAGGTCCTAACAATTTGTCATTGTAAATTCTTCCAATTGTACTAGACTTGAGCAATAAAGAGTGGAAAAATTGATGGTTGGAACATTAGATAGCTACTCAATGTCAAAACTTTTAAATGAGGAACTTTGAGATTCTCATTAAAGAATATGTTGTGCAATTTTTTACATTCCCTTAACTTTAAAATTTGTAGCTTCTTGAAAAATCCAGAAGGTAGAGGACCACGACACAATTCTTTTACATCTATATAATCCAAATGTAGCTCGACGAGCTTGGAGGAGGCTTCTAAATAGAAATTCCTCCTATTATCAATGAGGCACTCAATCACATCCCATTCATCCAAACAAAGCTTAACTAAGTCATTCATGGCTCCATCTTCCACAGGAATAATGTCAGGTATGAGACATTTCCATCCTATTTCTTTTATTTTTCCCAACTCATGAACCTCAGCTCTTCCCAAAATATACTTAAACATGGCTTTGACATTAAATATTTCATATGTTTTGTATTGAAGCATTTTAACTAGCCATTATCATCACTACTAAAATATCAAAACCATCACAAGCAATAGAAAACATTTTCAATATAAGAGGGGATATATCATGAGTAATTTCATCTTTAGTATCTTTGTCATCCTTTAGCTCCCAATCTTCAACATCCTTATTCTCAACAAAATATAGTTCTTGCAATTGGGAACATGTTTCAATCACTTCAAAAGGATTGTTCTTTTGAATTTCACACTTTCTTAATCCCAACAATCTCAACTTCTTTAGTTCCTTGATATCTCTAAGTAATTCAATTATTAAACAATTTTTAAACTCAAGAGTCACAAGACTTTTTAGGTTTTTTAAAATAAAGATGTCACCTAAATCCCAACCATCCAAGATAAGAGTTTGCATATTATTTAATGAAAGAAGTGATTGCGACAATGATAGAATAGAATGCTTCTTAGCCTACCAAGTACAAAAAGAATGTTTAGGCCTACTACCCCTGTGAACAATGTTTTTAGGGTTTTCACCAAAACATCTGCTTTTATCCAAAGGAATAGAATCTCAAGCTTTGTACCATCAAATTGATTTAAAAACTCATTATTACTCCAAAATGGTATCACTTGCTTGTTTTTAAAGTTGTCCTTAAATCTAGGATCACTTGAATATCCTTCTTTGCTATCCACAAGGCCACTTTGTGAACCAAGTTGTGCATTTTTACACATTCTTTCTCATCAACCTTCAATAACAAAGTGGACGCTATGAGTTCATTTTTCACTTCAAGTACTGGGCTTCTTACTGCACAATAATGTTCAACTTTGCCAAAAATTCTTACCCCTATACCAAGTCTAATAATAAGGTTTATAGGAATCTGATAGTCTTTTGGGAAAATAGAACACAATAGAAACAGTTTTTAGGCCTTCTCATTTCTCAAATTCTCATAGCCTAAGCTCAAGCATCTATAAACTTGAACCAAATCTTCATCAACATTAAGAAATTTGTTAGATTTTTTTAAAGTTGCTAAAGCTTCTTTCCATTCACGTGCTAGCTAAATTCTTAATGTGCTAGCTAGTGATGCAATTGTAATTGGTAATCCTCCGTATCCTCCGTACTCCTTCACAAAACTTGGTCAAAATCTTCCAACTCTTTTCTTGAAGAACCATCATTACTTGTAGCATGAAACAAAAACAGATTCAATGCATCCTCATCAGTCAACATGCATAGGTGAATTGTTTTTTGGCATCTCATTGCTCCACAAACTCTTGAATGGCGAGTAGTTATCAAAACATAGCAATTCTTGTGATCAAGTCCAGATGGAATCCTAATGTCTGTAAGATTTAGCTTTTCCCACACGTTATCTAGTATTATAAGTAATTTTTTTCACTTTTAAAAAATTCTGGACCACAAAAGCTTTGAGTGATCTGCTTCCATTGCCTCCTCTAAATGCAATCCTAACTCCCTTGCAATGTCTCCTCAAATCTTGTTGATATCTGGAGGATTGGACATAACAACAAAGATGACCTTCTCAAATTCTTTGGATTCTTCAACATGTTTGCTGACTTGTGTTGCCAATGTGATTTTGCTTATTCCCCCCATCCTTGCAATCTTGATGTCATTGAATATCATCCTAAAAATAGAATTTAAAAGAGTTAAAATAATAAACTCAAACAATATGTAAAAGAATTCAAAAGATGATAATTCAATATAATAAACTTAATAAGCCTATAAATCTTAATCATAACTATGAAATCAAAGTGAACTGAAATTGCTTTATTCTATCATGCTTGAAGAAAACAAATTATTCAAATGTAAATCAAAGTACTATACTTGCTAATTGAAATAATTGAAATTTCAAATACACCAGTTAATTAAAACTTTTTTGAGGACTTAATATAATAGGTAACAAATGTGGATACACAATCTACAAGGATAAATTAACCAAACGTAGCTTATGCCATGAAGATGAACATGGATACGTAGTCCATGAGGGAAATTAACTTAACACAGTTGAAGTCATGAAACAGAGGTGGACATATAGTTCATGAGGGTAACTAATCAAAGGTGATCGAAGCCATGAAGCAAACTCAAATACAAGACCCACAAATAATATACGTGAGATCAGAGCTCACAAAAATTAAACTAGTTAGTCTTTGACCATGACGTGCTAAGGACTAATGCAACTTTCGTTAACAGCAATGTTCTGCTTAAAGTACTCTAAAAATCACTTTTGAAACATGTAAGAAGAATAGTCATTTCAGAAAGACAATTTGTATTTTTAATATC